ATTTAATTTCTTTCGAATTATCTCTCTGATCAAGTCCAGTCGTTGACACTGTTGTCTTAAGACAGATTCGTCCTCTCCACGGTGCTTTCAGAATTTGGACGTCTATCTCCCAGGATGAAATGATCTACCACAAACCAATAGCAGCACTACAAATTGTTTGCCTTACGAACACACTAAGTGTTTACACTCTTTCTTTCAGAAAATATAATGCAGCAAGATGAAGAATAGAATTAGCAGAGGTAAAATACGAAATTTTCTGAATGCAAACATTCAAATGAGGGTGGTCCTATTTTATAGATGTGAAGGTGGCTCTTGGTTTTGAATTAAACAGGTATGTGGCTCTTGGTTTTTGAATTGAACAGTATGATACCTGTTGGTTTTGAATTCAAACAGATTTAATCTGTAATAATTCAAACAGATAAATTGCAAATCGCGGAATGGGCTAAACAATTACATTGGATTTTATTTTATCAAAAAATAAAATTAAATTCAAATGTTTTTGGCCCAAAAGATTAGAAGCCCAACCGGCCAACCAGCGCACGGACGGACGGCGGCGCGCGTGGTGATTTTTGGGTCCAATGGTCTAGCCCATTTTGCCCATAACCTCTCCCTCTAAAAACACTTGGTACCCTTGGGGCACACCCCAAGTATCTCACCCTAAGCCCTTATAAACCCTTTCAAAAACTTCCTACCAAATCAATGTGGACAAGCCAATTTACAACCTTAAGGAATTCCACCAAAACTCCATTTCATGGAGCACACTTTGGCTTCAATTCTCTCATTCACCGGTAATGGTTTGAGCAACCAAATATACCACGTGAATCACAACGCGGCATAGAACGGTTACCACTTGGTACCGAGGTAAAACGACACTCGGGGCCCACCTAAAAAATAGACCGAACTTAGGATAAAATTTTTATTTTATCCAGAATTTTATAACCAATTCCAACAATCCCCCACATGAATGGAATTTAGTCTTCTCTCTTTTTTTGACAACCCGGACATTATAATAAAAATTTAATTGGAAACTCTCTTTTAAGGGTCTCCTCTTGTGAGGAATCCCATTGAGAGCTTGAAATTATTGTGAAAGCTTCTATCTATTTATAAGAAAAAAATTCTTCCAAAAAACTCAAGAAATCTATGTGGGATTCAATCAAATTCATTGGAGGGAAACTTAAAATTTGATATCCCTCCAAAAATTTTGCTCTTCTTTCAATCAAAGTGTTTGAATTAAAATCATATGGAAGGAATATTAAATATTTGATTTCTTCTTCCAAAATGAAAATTAATAATATTTTTAAATATATTTTTATATTTTTTAATAAAAAAAGTATTAAGAGAAATATTTAAGATTATTAAAATTTTTAATTTATAATTTTATTACTTATATTTTTATTTAAATATAATTTTAATATATTTATGACGTCACGGTTCGATTCTGGTTCAATTCTACGGTTGAACCGATGACCCATCTATTCGATCATTTTTTCGAATCACTCACCGATCCGATTTTCAAAACATTGGTTTGAATCATAATGATGCAAGATTGAGGAACTTTGGATGCTTGTTATCAACACAAGTGGGACAAAAAGGAGATGTGACATTCCAGTTATATTTCATGTGATGGTATTTAAAAAAAATATCTAAACTAACTACTTTTCTTTTTCTTCACTTTGAGGGGAAGAGAGCTGGCTTTGAGGGCGGGGAAATGCTATGGTGTGTATCGCTTTAGTGGTGGATGCGATGTGTACTTTATTATTAAATGTGTAATTAAGTTATTAAATTTTGTAATATTAACTATAGAATGTGTAAATCTTATTATAAATTGACGTAATAAAACATGTCTTAATCAAGTTATAAAATATTAGATATTTTATCATGTCAATTCATGATAATGTTATAAAATTTATAATTGATGTTACAAAATTTATTGACTTTTAGTTATACATTTAGTGGTGAGGTGCATATGGTATACAGTATTTTATGATTCCACACCAATGTTCAACATCATACTACTTGGAGCATCTCCAAATTCTTACTTTTTTTATTCTGCTATATATATTTTTTTCATATGAAGTTTGAGTAAAAATTTGATCTGATTTTGAAATCTCTTTTTTTTTTTCTTTTTTATCTCTCTTTTTTTTTTTGGGGGGGGGGGTTTCCAAACTTATTCCAAAAATATGTTTTGAACACTTTTATTGAAAGAAAACCATTTTCAATCATTACTCTTTTTAAAATTTCTTCAAATTTAAGTAAAAATATGAATGTTGAAAATTTGATTCATCTTTGTTTTGGTGAAAAATTACCTCACTTGATTTTATACAGATTTGATAAGATGGTTGGGAGTATATTTAACCTTCATTTTTTTTATTTTATATCAAATTTAAATTTGATAAAAAAAAATTGATAAAGGATTAGGATGCTCTTACCCTTAAAAATATTTGGATTTTGTAAAACAGACATGAACTTTAATAATAGACATTTTACGGTTGAAGAATGTGCAAAAGGTCCTGTAAAGTTGGTTTTGAAGGTTAGCTTTCTTCTTTTAGACAGAAGAAACAACCTTTCAATAACCAGTGTTGAAATTTCCTATGAATCCAACTGGGATTAGCTCTACTTTGATGAGATGCACGTATCATCAACCTTCTAATAATAAAACAGTCCCCAAATTTTGAACTGATGTAACAAACTCGAATTACAAGCATGTGTTGTAATCTGAAAAATAAAAAAAAATGCACCATTTTGAGGCATCGAATTTGAAATAATAATAATAATAATAACTTCCTTTGAAGGATGTGATGTATACAACATTTTTTCTTGCATTCTCTAACACAAGCACACAAATGATAAAACCTTTACACAGTTGTAATACTGCAGAAAAAGAGATGCCCCAGCAACAAATTTCTCACTCATTGCTTGAGAAACAATGGTGTATGTGTATCTGTTTGTCTAAAACTATCAATTTTACAGATAGAAAATGTGATTTTTAAGTAATATGAACAAATTTACTGCCGAACAAAGACTTGGAGATACATAGGTCCCTTTCAAACTTTGGAGTAGCTCCTTGCAGCATTTTGTCTCACTCAGCATCCCACAAAGTAGATTATTGACTGATATCACAACAAATCAAAGTGAGAAAATGTAACTGAACTCAGTTAATAAAATGATAATCTACAAACATTACACTACTTTCGGAATACTCTTTCAGTCAATTTGAACAGTAGAATATAAAAAATGAAATTCTTATTCCATATTTTCTGTCATTCTTCATTTACTTATAACAAAAAGATAATTTGAGAATTGTCCCAAACTTGACGGAGAGGAGTTTCTTACCAAAATAACAAACAGAACCACATCAAAGATTGAAACCACCCTCCATTCAGTTTTCATGTATTGTGCAACTCCTGCCCTGGAAGCATGAAATACAGGAAAAGAAAAGGGAAATGCAAATTTCATATAACAGAGGTAGTAGAGGGAGAAGATGGGAAAGTAGTAATGTTTACTAGCAGAAATCACAATTGTAGCACTTGATTGCCTTGGAACTTTTGTAAATTTTGCAATCCTTGTTGGAACTGATTGGGAGAAAGCTCAAGTCGTAGTATGAAGCATTAATAGCAGGATAACCACAGTTAATAAGGAATTGAGACCCAGAAGAAAAGGAAAAGAAAATAATGTGTGAGAGAGAGAGAGAGACCAAAATGTAATTATTCAGAAGAAGAGAAAGGATAAGGGAGGTCGACAACTACCAGCAATGGGGGTTAGTTTTGCCAGTTTGTATTGTTTAAGAGTCTGCAATGAGAGGTGAAAACTTTACCATTAATTCATACGAAACAGACGAGAAATGAGAGTTTAAAGTCGCAAAATGGACCTTATATTTTTTGGACAGGTTATTACAGTCATCAGATATCACGAGACAACTCCTTAAGCGCTCCCAGTAATGGGTGTTGTTTAGTTGGAAGAAAGAAGCAAGATTAAAAAACCAACCAAAAAATGGTATTCTCGCATCGATGCTCTAAACTGCTAAACACATATAATGATCAATGTGTACCTGTTTTAGAAAACATGATATGTAGTCTTGAAGTTGATACTCCTTGTACCTAAGCAGACAGATTAATGCCCACTGTTGTTCCCCCGCCCAAAGAAGAAAGAATTTAAAAGAACAGAGATTTTTTTAAACAAACAAAAAATCATAAAGCATATGGAACTCCTCCTATTTCTTTTTTTGACTAAATTTTTTTGTAGTATGTTCTTCCTCGACAAATAGCAGGCTACATTATTGAGGGACAAGAGTAGCCTCAGAGAGAGAGAGAGTAATATTTTGACTGTTTAGAGTTTACTTCTTCACTATCCTTTTATAATCTTTCCTTGTAGGGCTAAAGCTTGTTTGTAAGGACTTCTGCATAACATGAGTGCTTTCACACCTAAAAAAATGAGACATCAACAGTGATTCTATCATAAAAATCATGGGGTGATCTATCTTACCTCAAACCAGCTACACGGTGCCCAGATCCATTATTTGTTATGATAAACCTACAAAAGCGAGGTGCCACAAAATGAATCATGTCAGAAAACTAAAACTCGAAGCACATAATTCAAACAAAAACCACAGCATTGGATGTCATAGGGTATAATGAACACTGCAGAGAACTTGCTTCAATTCATCTCCCATAGGAGAAAAAAGAATAACAAAGACAGGTTGACAATAAGGAAGAAAAGACGGATTGTCATGAATGGCGCAAACTGTAATACAACGGGTGATCCCAATTGATCATAGCATAAATTCCCATGTCAAAAAAATGAGCATTTGTAGAGAAGTGGACCACCGCTCCTCAACACCTGCTCTTTATGATTTCAGTTGATAACAGAGGCGTATTCCTTAACTTATCAGGAAATAAAGAATGAAACAAAATGAAATGAAAAGTAAAAAAGAGAAGGATGTCCCTCTAAATCCATGAATTAAGTGAAAAGATAGACCATTGATTATCTGAGGGTTTTTTTCTTCTTCTTCTTCTTCTTCTTCTTGTTTTCCCCCACTTTTTGCTTTTGTTTACATTTTTCTATTCATTATTCATTGCATAAACCTTTCCCAAAATGTTCTGGCTTAATCCAACAGTAAGGAGGCAATACAAATTGGCCCAAAACAACTTAGAGCAATATCAAACGACTCAATAAAACCAGTTGAATGTATCAGAATAATAAATAAATAAATAAAAACAGGAAAAGTAGTTGACAACACTGATTAATAGCAAGGTAGATGGGCAAGATAATTCTGCAAATGGACAACATCTGCAGTGTTAGTTTTCAATGAAACCACAGTTTGACGCAAAACTGATACCACATCCTTGAACTCCTATGTCCACTTCCATTTTAGGATGATTGAAAACCTCCAAATTCAAAAGACGAAATTCTAAAAGTATTCAACAATGTTTGAAAAGCAAACAGACCTGTAGTTTCAACCACTGTTCAAGAGCATTGTCTACCTGTCTTTGAATAACAAGTCATATCTATAGATCATCTAAAATTTCACACCAAAAGTAATTGGCCTCCCTCATCGATTAGCAGTTCACTGATTGGTAATATCATTAATAATGTGACAGGATAACTGGACCAGCAAGTCAGGACCTGAAGAGCTTGCTTTGTGAAGAAGTGTGTGCTTATATAGTTGTTTTAGTTCTAGGGTGGAATTATCTTTATCTAGCCAAGCGAGGAGCTCCACAAAGTTGATCATTACAATTGTTATGGTAATTTGTAATCCGCAATTATGTAATGCGGCCAAATTTTAGATACCATTTGAAACTTGAATCAAGTTGATCATTACCATTTGAAATTTGATGCTCCAACAACAAATTTCTCACTCATTGCTCGAGAAACAATGGTGTACGTGTATCAGTTTCCTAAAACTATCAATCTTACAGATAGAAAATGTGATTTTTAAGTAATGAGAACAAATTTACTGCCAAGCAAAGATTTTTGGATATACATAGGTCCCTTTCAAACTTTAGAGTGGCTCCTTGCAAGATTTCGTCTCACTCAGCATCCCACAAAGTAGATTTTTGACTGATGTCACAACAGATCAAAGTGATAAAATGTAACTGAACTCAGTTAATAAAATGATAATCTACAAACATTACACTACTTTCGGAGTACACTTTCAATCAATTTGAACAGTAGAAAATATACTTATAATATAATATAATTGCAAGGATAACTATAAGAATATTTTTCTAATAATTTGTTTAGTTCTTTGATAAGAACATAGTGAGTTAAATAATACAATTTACCAAATTGACCCTATAACTACATAGAAAATAAGGATTAACAAGAGAAAAAAAAAACAATAGAAAAATTAAATATTAATAAATAAATAAGTGAGTAAACATGAATATAACATTTTTCATAGAAAACGATCACCTAAAAGAAAATTAAAAAAACTAGTTGCTGTAATGAATTAAGACCATTGCACAAAGACAGTGGAAATATAGAACAACTAAAAAGGTTGGAATGGCCTCCAAAAAGCCATTACAAAGGTCAATAAGTGTTATAAAAAAAAATAATAATATAATAAAAAAATCATACAAAATAGTCAAATATTAATTTTTATTCACTCTATTTTTTGCATATTTTTCTGTAAAAAGTCAAAAAGTCCTTCCTAAACATATTTTGATTGTTTTCACCTCATATTTTAACTAAAAAGACACAAAAAAATGTAACTTCCTAAATGAGGCCTTAATCAATAACCTTCTTAGGTTCTTTAAATGAAAATATAGGACATTTCCAGTGAATAAATGATGAGAAATTTTTCGAATGGGTCCAGATTTCAATGGTCATTCTTAATAAACAAATATCATGTATGCTTCAGTTTCTACGATGCTAGCATGCACTTTTTAACATCAGAGCTTGTGAGTGAAGCTACTAGGATGATAAATTTAATTTCTATCTATATTTGTTTCAGCAGCCAAATAGAACACATTTAAAGATTTTCCTAGTTTACTGAAAAATCTAGAAATCCCTTAGATGTTGATTTGTGATTATGTATCAATTTTAAGCAGTAAACAACAATCCCAATCAAACAATCAAGACAAATCGATACAACGATTTTACGTGGACAAACCACAATTGGACACCTCCAATTGTGATAAAAAAAAAACCACAGGCAATAGCTACAAAACAATCCACTAAGAAGATATAAAGGAATTACATAGGTATACTCTCAATTGCCTACGGCAACCTCGCCTTGGCCGCCCGCCGGACCTCAACCTAGTCCGCTAGAATTTTCTACACATACCTTCACTCTTCTTCACCACCTCGCCGAAGCAAACCCAAAATCCCTCTGGGACATTTCGTCGAACACCATGTCTGCAACAATGATGGGCATGACACACACACAGAGATGAGGCTGCTAACCCACAACATACTATCATCCAACATCAAGGGGGTCACCAATAGCTTCCCTCTCCGTCTCGAATTCGTGGAGTTTCCGATCTCAGTCCCGAGACGACCATCGACGAGCTCTGAGCTATGGCTTCCTCCTGGGCGTTGAAGGCGGCTCGTCAAGCCGCAATCGTTTCTCAGCTCTCCTCTCCGACTTCATCAGCTCAGGCCGCAAACAGCGCCGCGGCCTTGCTGGCGCCACTGATCACCATGGACCTCCAAGGGTTAATTTCTGGCAAAATCCAATGAGTCCATCTAAATGGAAGGAAGAGCATTTTGTGATTGTCTCTTTATCTGGCTGGGGTTTGCTTTTCTTTGGGGGATATAAGTTGTTCTCCGGAGGCAAGAAAGACGAGGAAGAGAAATTGGTGGAAGCATCACATTAGTATTGGGATTTTAAAGTCACTATCACAGAAGCTTTCTCTCAATAATGTGTTTGCTTGGTTTTCCAATCTCCTTTGATCTGAGCAAACCAGACACACAGAGACATCTCTCTCTCTCTAGTTTTTCAAACCCATTTTACTTTTCTTCTTTTATTTATTTATTTTTTCTTTTCATCCATTTTACACCACCAAACACTTTCCAACCTACCAGCGCACATGCTTTCGCCATTAATATATAAAAAAAAAAAAAAAAACAACAACAACAACAACGCAGGTTTTAACAAAACCGTTGGCCAAGACACCCACGTGGGCTTGTCCTCTCTCTCTCCTCCGTTTGATTTCAAAATCTATTATTTTTATTTATTTTCTCCAAACCACTTTTAATCTCTTTCAAATACCCACTTTTATTTTATTATATAATCAACATACCCATCATTCTTTTCCCCGCTCAAATATATTATACTAGCCTTCATTGATTCCACTGTCTTCCAACACTTCATTTTATTTATTATTATTATTATTATTTTCACCAAAAAAAAAAAAAAAAAAAAAAAAAAAAAAAAAAAAACAAAACAACAACCAACAAACACAACTGCACACCACACTCATTTTATTCATATCAAGGGATCAACCCCGATCACAATTTTACACAAAAACAAAAAAAAAAAAAACCCCAAAACCA